ATAAATTTTGGAAAATATCTTTTTATATTGTTCAATTTTCTTAGAACTCATTTGAAAATTTAAAAATATCATAAGATTAGACAACCTGGTTATTTTTGCGTTGGACAATCACGCACACTATGACTTTATGAAATGTCTTAAGAGAAAACAAGTTTAAACAGATATCACAAACCAAGTTGATCAATGTAACATCTAAATCGATTGGTCCTTTTGTATAATACTAATCAAATATCGAGAATATGGTTTTTACATTGGCGTCATTTTGAAGTTATATGCTAGTGAGCCCAACACGTCAAATCATCATCAATTGATAGAAGATGATATTCAACACTAAATAACATTCTTGCATTATGGTGATTGAGACAATGATTCACTTGATCTAGGTGGTCTTTTAGATGAGATGTTGTGACATCATTATTGATTCCAAACAAAATGAGAGGAGTAACCCTTTCTGTAATAAATTATTGGCAAAATATTCTTTTTTGTCCCTTAACTTTACTTCAGAGTCCAGTTTGGTCCTTTAATTTTTAAAATATTCAAATTGATCCCTTAACTATTAAAATAGTGCCACATTTTCCCTTCCATTTGTTTCCGTTAATCAAATTCAGATTAAAGTATCCACGTGGAGTTGTTCAATGGTGATGTGGATATAACATGAATAAGTATTGCAAAATAAAAAGATATCTTTAGAAAGTGAAAACGAAGAGTCACAGAACTTCAACATTGCTCTGGTGGTGCGAAAGTGAAGATGAAAGGGGCTTCAACATTTTGCAAGATTGAATATGTTATTGAAGGCGAAATCAAAGGCACAATGAAGGATTGTAGATGTTATTGAGCACAAGTTATTAATTTTTGAATGTATTCGTTCTGAGTGTGGTAAAATTTTAGGGCTTTTCATTTATTCATTTCGAGAGTGGTAGAAATTTAGGCATTTTCATGTATTTGTTCTGAGAGTGGTAGAAATTTAGGGCTTTTCATATATTAGTAATTTAGGGCTAGTAATGTTTTAGAGCTTTGTAAGTTTGTTCTGTAAGTGTATTAGGGCATAATTTAATTTGGAAATTGATTTCAATAGGTGAAATGAACAAATATTTAAAACTAAGAATTCGTCATAGGGGTGAATTCATTGATGATGAACTTAGCGCGTATGAAGGAGGGAAAGTTGATTATTTGAAAATAGATGTCAACAAATGGAGTTTTTTGAGTTGGTAGGTGTGCTGAATGAGTTAATTTATAGGGATTTTGAGACAATATATTACAAGGACCCCTTATTTGGGATGAATGCTTTGGTTGATGATAAAGATGCATTAAAAATAACTGATCTTTACATGATGAATCTAAGTGTTGACATCTATATTCAACACACGCTATCTCAGCCTGATTATTATGATGGGCCTATAGAAGCAGAAGTAGACAATGCTGAAACTGTTGTGATATTGTATGTTATTTTGCAAGGTGTACTACCTGTAATGGATGATATTTTTTCTACTGTTGAGCAAAGATTCTGTGTGAGACACTTGTATAACAACTTCAGAAAGATATATCCTAGAAAGGTGTTAAAGAAAATTATATAGAAGACTGCAAAATCAACATATTCACAAGCATGAGAAAGATAAATAAGGGGAATGAAAGTGATCTATGAAGATGGATATATCCATATGATGAAGACCCCACCAAGATTTTGGAGTATATCGTATTTTAGGACAACTAACAAGTGTGATTCTATTAACATGTTAGAAACTTTCAATAGTGATATTCTAGAGTCAAGGGCTAAACCATGAGTAACCATGTTGGAAGAGATCAAAACATGTTGTATAGAAAGATGGGAACTAAAAGGATGAGATATTAAAACTTGGCTGATCATGAAATTTTGCCTAATATTAAAAGGAAAGTTGAGAGTACTAGCAATTACACCAACTTATGGATTGTCAGGTACATAAGTTTGATTACACCAATTTAGATTGATGGGTCTGGCAAAAAAAAGAGGAGAACATATTTAATTATCAAGTGTAGTGGGTGCAAGCAGTCTGGTCACAACAAACCTACTTGTAATGTGACACCAACAACTTAAGCATCTCAACAACCAACTTAAGCTTCTCAACAACCATCTCAAACTTCTCACAACCTGCTCAAGCATCTCAAGCTTCTCAACAACCTGCTCAAGCTTCTCAACAACATGCTTCAAGAACTCAAGAAACTCAAGGAACACAAACACGACAACAATCTACTCCAAGACCTCAACGAAGACAGGTTTCAAAGGCTAGTTAACAATCAACACAAAAAAGTAAGCCTACTCAAGTAAGATATGCTTCACAGGCTACTCAACATCCATCTCAATCATCTAAGGGAAAGGCAAAGAAGTTAGGTGTTAGAAATGTATGAGTTCAATGTTTCTTTCGAAGTAAGGAAACCATTGAAGGAAAAACTATTCGCAAACTTCCTAGAAGATATGACTCGTGACCCCCCCCCCCCCCCCCCCCAACACTTGGACGATATTTACAGATGGATCATCTAACAACGAATTTAATTTCGGAAACTGAAGTTGGTCTCATGGTCGAATTCCCTTACACTTTGAATTCTCTATCATCAACGCTCACGTTGAATATGAAGCAGTCATCATCGAACTCACATTGATAGTATAAATGAGAGCTAAAAATATTAAGTTGAGAAAGAATTATCTAGTAGTCTCTCAAGTCAAAGAGAAAGCACTTGCTAAATACCCACTACTATAATATTATTTGACGCTAGCTAGAGAGAAACTTTCAAAGTTCAAAACATCTGAGATTGTGCATGTCCCAAGCATACAAAATACTCAGACGACATACTCTCTTAGATGGAAAGTACAAGAGGGTCAATGGTCAACCACACATTCATTTAGGAGACTCTAAAAAGTATGAGCATCGAGGCCTCAAAAGACGCGGTGATGGTCGTTCCTGGATATCTTCTATTGTAGTATACAAAGAGCAACAAGTCTTTCACTCTAACCTAACTGAGGCAGCTCTGGTTAAAAGAAGGGGAAATTCATATTCCAAGATTGAGGTAACTTTATACATAAGAGAGGCATGTCTACTCCTTTGTTGAAATTCTTAGAAGGGGGAGGAAACCACTTACACCTTCGTAGAAATACATGATGGGATAATTGGAAAACACTTGGGTACCCGGACACTGGCCAAAAAAGTATTAAGAGATGGGTATTATTGGTATTCCATGGTCCAGAACGCCAAGGAATATGTGAAGAAATATGACCAATTTCAACGACACAAAGACATTCACAGTGCTCTCTGACAGAGTTGCAAGTATTGACATCAGGATTGACCTTTTCTCAGTGGGGGTATGGACATCTCCGGTCTATTTTCTTTAGCATTAGGTCAACTCAAATATTTGATAGTGTCGACATTTAGTCATGTGTTGACATCACCATGGACCTGAAGTTTTTTAAGAGAAGAATCCTAGCCATGTAGCCCTTCAAGCTACCATGATCGATAATGAGATCTAATTTACAAACAAAAAGTTAAAAAACTTGCTAGAAGAGTTAAAAACTCAAGCAACACTTTGTGTGAGTAGAATATCCCTAGACGAATGGTCAAACAGAAACGACATATCAGGTGTTGTTTAGGTGACTAAGACGAAGGCTTAAGGCTGCCAAAGAAAATTGAACATATAAACTCCCACACGTCTTATGGACGTATAAAACAACCCTTCATTCAACGATCGAGGAAACCCCTTTTTCGTCTAACTTACGGTATTAAGATTGTCAATCTGATTGATGTTGAAGAGTTAAATTGGAGGACGACACACCCTTTATCCGAAGAAGACAACAATAAACACAAAGAAAATTCCTTTCTTAGAGTAAAGAAGGGAATCCACCGCCTTCTCCGGTGGCGTCATCAAACAAGCTATGACAATCCAGTATAATAAGCGTGTATGACTAAGAGAGTTCCAAGAAGAACGAGGAGTGACGTAAATTGAAATGATGGACTTACGCATGGTGGACTTAAAAGCGTAGTTGCACCATAACGCTCCAAGAAGAACTAGCCATATAATTAAGGATATTAAAATGAAGAGCCTTAGCTACGTACTAGACTACAGTTTTGTCTTATAGGAGAGGATGAAAAGTAACTATGTTGATTAGTCATGATGAATGATTGGCCATTGCATTTGCAACTATCAGAATCAACCCCCATCAAACACGAGAGACAAGAAGATGAGAAGTTGAGAATATACATGAGGGGGTAAAGCAAGGGATTGTGTTGTGAATGAAAATACATATGTTCTCTTTTTTTAAAATTCATCTGGACCTTTGATTTATTTTTAGATAAATCATCTCGTTTCGTGTATAAAAATGGTCCACCAATGAACTATCTATTTGATAGTTCACCTTAAATGCTACCGCTAAATATATGAACCAAATTTTGATGATTTACTAAGTCTTTCTTATTGATCATTTGTGCAATCGTATTATCATGAATGAAAATTGGAGAATAAGTATTGGTGCTGAATCGGTGAATATTGAAATAGAAGGAAATAAATCCTCTCCCGCTCTTTCTTTTCTTCATGTTAGATAATCCCTCGTCTAATATATTAAATGACAGAGAATACATGTATTTAAACACGAGGATAAAGAGATTGAATGTTGAATATTATAAATACAGCTTCATTTTTTTCCAACACAATATGATCCAGACTTCACTGGCTCTGACCGCTTTTTACCGAACTCAGATGATCCTGTCCCGATTTTACAGTTTGTTGGATGTCACACAACAAAATAATAAGTTGGGATGATAACATGCTGCGGTTGCTAACCCGCCAACCATGACCATAATGTGATGCAATCATGCAACCCAAGATGGGAGCAGAAAGAACAATGATTAAATCTGGCAATCCATAAACACATGTATGCTTACTTGCTTTTTTGTCTAGAAAATAATGTGGAAGACAATGGGCATAGACATGCTTAAGCGTCTATCCCATGACAGTTCACAGTGGAAGAGAGTTTGAGCTTAGAAGAGGTAGTAATTTCGAGAAAGAGGAACAGTAGTGGCCGGAGTGCAGGTTAGAACCTCTCCATCTGCAGTTACTGTGTATGTCTCAGGGTCCACAGTGATTTCTGGAAGGGCGTCGTTCAGTTTCATGTCTAGTTTGCTGATCTTTCTCACATTCTCCACCGCTTCCACCCTCTTGTCAAGTCCATATAAAGCTTTTACACCGTAGTCCAAAGCTGCCTGCATGAGACAGAGCATCAACATGTGATGTGAGTTTGTAATGAATTATGTGCACGCGTGTGTGATGCGTGTATATATGAAAGAGGGAAAAGGAAGGGGTTGCATGCCTTGCTCACAAAAGCAATCGAGTTTGCACTTCCAGCCTTGCCATACGCTCCAAACATAGGTCTCATAATCACCTGCAAAATCAGGTTTCTGGTTTAATAGAAGCATTTTTAGATTAAACATCTCTAAGATGGCTGGTTGCATATATACTCTCTATAAATTCTCTATATGGTGTTATTGTTGGTTAAATTCAAATCTGCATTGTATAGTGCAAAAGACAAATTCTCTTTGGACAGTGGGAAGTTTATTCCTTAGGGACCTAGTAATAGTTAATGCTGTAACATTTAATATTCTATCTTGTGGTCTCTATAAATTACTTTGTGTTCATATTAAAAGTTAGTTGGACATTTTATAAAAGAAAGCAAGTTTAAGTCCACTCCCATTTCTCCTAAAATTGGTGTCGAGCGCATGGCAAATATGATGGGTCAAATGCCACTGACACGACTATCAAAGTCGAATTATTAAAATATGATGGATTTGAAGAACCATCAAATACGACGGCAAACACAGCTGCTCAGAACAAGGCGTTGAAAGAAACGCGAGCAAAAGATAAAACAGCATTGTACATGCTGTTCAGAGCAGTCACCGAATCGGTTTTCGAAAAGATTGCTGGTTCGACTACGTCGAAGGAAGCGTGAGACACGCTAGAAAAAGCTTTCAAAGGAGCAGATAGAGTCAAGCAAGTTCGCTTGCAGACTCTTCGAGGAGAAATGAAGAGAATGAAGATGAAGGAGACAGAGTCCGTGTCGGACTACATCACACGTGTGCAGACGGTGGCAAATCAACTCAATCGAAATAGAGAAGCAATGACTGATGCTCGTATTGTCGAAAAGATTATGAGACCTTTGACAGATAAGTTCGAAAATATAGTATGCGCAATAGAAGAGGCGAAGGATCTTTCGACAATCACTATCGAAGAAGTCGCTGGTTCACTTGAGGCGCATGAACAGCGCAAAATAAAGAAGAAGGAGGAGACACTTGAGGATGCAGAACCCAACAAAGACAAAAAGGAACTTTTCTTTTAAAATTGGCGTGAGAGAGGACATGGCCGTGGAGGACGTAATGGTGGTCGAAGTTACCAAAATAACAACTTCGACAGAGGACAGACAAGCCAACAAAACTGACGTGGCCAGAAAGGTCGTAGGTCGAATTACAACAATATCGAATGTTACAAATGTAACAAACAGGGGCGCAATACGAAAGATTACAACTCCTACAGTTGCTACAACTGTGGTAAAGTGGGACATCTTGCAAAAGATTGTCGACTCAAGAAAGATAGAATAAACAACAAATCTTGCCGTAGAAACAGAATCAAATGAAGGATTTCTGTTAATGACTCAAAAGGAAGCAGATGCAGAAAATGACACTATGTGGTGGTACCTGGACTCAGGAGAAAATAACCATATGTATAGTCATAAGCACTTGTTCAAAGAAATAAAGAAAATTGAGGATGGTCGTGTTTCCTCTGGAGATGCGTCGAAAGTAAAGGTCGAAGAAAAAGGAACAATCAGTTTCTTGCAGAAGGATGATTTGATAGAATCAATCCAAGATGTGTACTATGTACCAAACCTCAAAGCAAATATTTTAAGTCTGGGACAACTCACAGAAAAAGACTATTCGATACTCATGAAAGATCGAAGTTTGCACTTAAAAGACAAGTCAGGACGTCTGGTTGCTCAAGTCGAAATGAGGAGAAATCGAATGTACAAGTTGAATTTGAGAAGCATTCGAGAAAAGTATTTGCAAGCCAATGTCGAAGACCAAGTATCCCTGTGGCATCTGCGTTTTGGTCATCTACATCAGGCTGGACTAAGGAGGTTAGCAAAGAAAAATATAGTGCATGGACTGCCAGAAATAGAATTCGAATAAAAGTTCTGTGAAGAATGTGTGTTTGACAAACAGACGAGAACCTCATTTCAAAGGAAGGCAGAATATCAGGCTAAATAAATTCTGAAATTGATTCACACTGACATATGTGGACCAATTACCTCAGAATCCTTCAGTGGTAAAAGGTACTTTATATCCTTTATTGATGATTTCTCAAGGAAAACTTGGGCGTATTTTCTGAAAGAGAAGTCACAAGCCTTCGAAGTATTCAAGAAGTTTAAGATAATAGGGGAGAAAGCAACAAACATGCACATCAAAGCTCTTCGATCAGACTGAGGTGGAGAGTATACTTCGACAACTTTTATGAAGTATTGTGAAGAGCAAGGCATAAGGAGATTTCTGACTGCAGCATACTCACCTCAACAAAATGGTGTGACGGAAAGAAAGAATCGAACAGTCTTCGACATGGTTCGATCGATGTTTAAAAGCAAGAACATGTCGAAGAAATTTTGGGCAGAAGCTGTACAATGTGCAATCTACGTTCAGAATAGATATCCACATTCGAAGTTGGGAGATTTAACACCTCAAGAAGCTTGGAGTGGACAAAAGCCAATTGTGTCTCACTTCAAAGTGTTTGGAAGTGTGACTTATGCACATGTACCTGATCAAAGAAGAACAAAGCTGAAAGATAAGAATCAGAAATACATACTCATTGGATATGATGAGAAAACGAAAGGTTACTGACTTTTCAACCCAATAAACAAAAAGGTGATAGTGAATAGAGATGTTCGAGTAAACGAAGGAAGCAAGTGGGACTGAAACAACTCGACTGGAGTCATGATCGAATTACCAGGTGCTATATCGAAAAACACTTCGACAGAACCAGAAGACTCTGATGATGAAGATGGACTCTCAAAGCCCAGGTTGCGAAGTTTACAAAACTTGTATGAAAACACAGAAGAAGTGCATCTTGTATGTTTGTTGGCAGACACTGAAGATGTCAGTTTCGACGAAACAGTAAGAAACAAAAATTGAAAGGATGCTATGAGTGAAGAAATTAAGGCCATCGAACGCAATGATACTTGGGAACTAGCAGAGTTACGAAAAGGAAGTCAAACAATTGGTGTGAAGTGCGTGTTTAAGAAAAAGATAAATGCACAAGGTGAAATCGAAAGATACAAGACGCGGCTTGTGGCGAAAGGATACAAGCAGAAGCAGGAATCGACTATGATGAAGTGTTTGCACCAGTTGCGAGAATGGCGACAATTCGACTGCTCATATCTCAAACTGCTCAATACAAATGGCAAATATATCAGATGAATGTCAAGTCAGCCTTTTTAAATGGCATGCTTGAAGAAGAAATTTATGTCGAACAACCACCGGGATACATGAAAGTCGAAAATAAAGGAAAGGTGCTAAAGCTAAGGAAGGCACTTTATGGGCTGAAGCAGACACCACGAGCATGGAATACACAAATTGACACATACTTCAAAGAAAATGGATTTCAGCAATGTCCCTACGAACATGCCCTGTATGTGAAGAAGGAAAAAGAGAATATTATTTATTGCTCTCTATATCGATGACTTAATTTTCTTAGGCAACAATAATCAGATGATAGAAGAATTCAAAGACACAATGACACAAGAATTTGAGATGACTGACTTAGGCCTGATGAAATACTTTCTTGGTCTGGAGGTTCGACAAGAAGAAACATGAATCTTCATCTCACAAGAAAAATATGTAAAAGATATCCTGAAAAGATTTAAAATGGAAAGCTGCAATCCAATTTCGACACCAATGGAACCAGGAGCAAAGCTTTCGAAATTTGATGGGGGAGAGCGTGTTGAAACAAACAAATTTCGAAGCTTGGTGGGAAGTCTTCGATATCTCACATGCATAAGGCCAGATCTTTCGCTGAGTGTTGGAATTGTGAGTCGTTTCATGGAAGAACTAGATTTTGCACACTGGAAAGCTCTGAAGAGAATCCTTCGATATGTCCAAGGAACTGTGTCACTTGGAATATTTTATTCAAAAGCAGAAGAATACAAGTTGATTGGCTACTCTGACAGCGATTGGTGTGGTGACATAGATGATCAAAAAAACACTTCAAGATATGTGTTCTTCATGGGAAACACTGCATTCACCTGACTGTCAAGAAAGCAACCTATAGTAACTCTTTCGACATGTGAAGCAGAGTATGTGGCAGCATCTTGGTGCGTATGCCATGTAATATGACTGAGAAGATTGCTGAGCAGGATGGAGTCGAAACAGGAAGATGCAACAATAATTCAAGTCGACAACAAATCTGCAATCGAACTGGCGAAGAATCCAGTCAACCATGAAAGAAACAAACACATTGATGTTCGATTCCATTTTATTCGAGAACATGTGAAGGATGGAAGCATTGAACTGAAGCACGTTGCAAGCAAGGATCAAGCAGCAGACATTCTTACAAAACCATTGTCGAAGGAGCTATTCGACATAGGCAAGCAAATGTTAAGCATGATGGATCGAAGAAATATTTGAATTTATGGGAGAGTTTTGTTGGTTAAATTCAAATCTGCATTGGGTAGTGCAAAAGACAGATTCTCTTTGGACAGTGGAAAGTTTATTTCTTAGGGACCTAGTAATAGTTAATGCTGTAACATTTATTATTCTATCTTATGATTTCTATATAAATCACTTTGTATTCATATTAAAAGTTAGTTGGACATTTTATAAAAGAAAGCAAGTTTAAGTCCACTCCCATTTCTCCTGAGCTATTATCTCATAAGGGTGTCAAAGTTAGCGTACTTCCATTTTATAGGGATGCAATTTCACATTAGTCATTCACTTAAATTTCGACATCATATCAGATATTTGTTAAATTGTAATTCATAGGTGTCAAAATAAGATTTGATTTGTTTAGATTTAAATAGATTTGAATTTAAATCTAGATTAGATTTGATTTAGTAAAGAGATATTTTGGGCTTGGGTTTAGCTTAGGGAGCAAGCTAACCTAAATCTATAAATAAGGGGGAGTAACCCTTATTTTGTAATTCAAGTCATTGAAGTTATTCACAGTATTTTGCAGTTGCAAAGTGAATTAATAAATATTCCACAGTTTGTGGGCAGAATAGAAATTCTGCAGAAATATCTCCATTGTTCTTTTATTTGTTTGTTTCATAACTTATCATCAAGTGGTGGTCGAAATTCATCATAGTGTATTGGTGGATTTCCAACATCTGGTATCAAGAGCTTGTGTTTCGATTCAAGGGAAGTGTCAATCAAGAACGATTGAAGAATTCACGATGACAAGTTATGGGAATGCAAACTATCCAGCAACGCTGCCAATTCTGAAAGTTGACAACTATGAGAATTGGTGCAAACAGATGAAAGTCCTATTAAGGTGTCAAGGCCTTTGGGACCTTGTAAAAGATGGAGTCGAAGCGCTTGGCGAAAACGCTTCAGAAGAAGAAAAGAAGACATATACAGAATCTGAGAAGCAGAGTTATAAAGCATTATTTATAATTCATCAATGTGTCAGCCCAGACAACTTCGAAAAGATTAGTGATTCAGAATCTGCAAAAGAAGCTTGGGAGATCCTTGAGAAGTCTTTTGGAGGCGCTGAGAAGGTGAAAGAAGTGAGGTTACAAACTCACAAAAGAACCTATGAACTGCTTCAGATGGAAGACAGTGAAAACATATCTGATTTCTTCACTAGAGTTACAAAACTAGTGAATCAAATCAAAACATGTGGAGAAACATTAACAACAAGAGCTGTTGTTTCGAAGATCTTGAGATCCTTAGCTCCTAAGTTCGACCACATAGTGGTGGCGATCGAAGAGGGGAAAGACTTGTCGAAATTGACAAAGGAAGAGCTTCAAGGGACGCTCGAATCTCATGAACAAAGAATGAACGAAAGAGCTGCAGGAAAATCGAAGAGTGATGTGGCCTTGCAGGCACATTCAGCAAAAGAGACCAAAGGCAAAGGAAAGTATTTCGACAGAAGTAGAGGTGGCTACAACAAATCGAATGGTAGAGGAAACCAAATCGAAGGAGACGTGTCGAATCAAAGAAGACCACACCAAGGCAACCAAAGAGGTGGTGCTGCAAATAGAGGAAGAGGTGGTGGTCGAAAACCTGATAAGAGTCACATTCAATGTTACAATTGTCAGAAGTATGGTCACTATTCGAGTGATTGTCCAGAAAAACGAAAAAATCAAGAAAGTGATGCAAAGCTGGCAAAACATGAAGAAGAAGAAGAAGAGATGATGTTGATGGTCACAACAAGAGATGAAGATAGATTCAAGGACCAATGGTACTTGGACTCAGGATGTTCATCACATATGTCTGGAAGGAAAGACTGGTTCGTCAATATAAAACCCTCAACGAAAAATTTGGTAAAATTTGCAAATGACAACACCCTAGCAGCTGAAGGTATTGGTGATATTATGATCATGAGGAAAGATGGCAAGAAGTCAGTAATTTCGAATGTATTGTACATACCAGGCATGAAGAGCAATTTGCTCAGTATAGGGCAGTTAGTCGAAAAGAATTATAAAGTATCAATCGAAGATAAGTTGATGAGAGTTGTTGATGCAAATGGGAGAGTAATCTTGAAGGCTCCTATGTCTCAGAATCGAACCTTCAAGATTGAACTAAATGTGATGGAGCACAAGTGCCTTTCGACTGCAGCTAGCAGAGATGAATGGATATGGCATTATAGACTTGGTCATCTCAACTTCAGAGACATCAAAGATTTGAAGAGAAGAAATATGGTTTCAGGATTGCCTGAAATTGACATTCCAAACGAAGTATGTGAAGAATGTGTGCAGGCGAAGCAACACAAGAACAGCTTCAGCAAGGATGCAGGAAGCAGATCGAAGGCTAATCTCGAAGTCATATACTCTGATGTATGTGGACCAATTCAGGTGGATTCGATGGGAGGTAACAAATACTTTGTTACATTCATAGATGATTTCAGTCGAAAGCTATGGACTTACCTGATCAAAAGGAAAAGTGAAGTGTTCGAAGTATTTATCAAGTTCAAGTCCATGGTCGAAAGACAAAGTGGTCGAAAGCTCAAAGTTTTGAGAACTGATGGTGGAGGAGAATATGTGTCGAAAGATTTCGACAGATTATGTGAAAAAGAAGGGATTGTGCATGAGGTGGTGCCACCCTATACTCCACAGCAAAATGGAATTGCAGAAAGGAAAAATCGAACCATCATGAACATGGTGAGAAGTATGTTGAAAGGCAAGAATTTACCCAAAGAGTTCTGGGGTGAAGCTGTTTCGACTGCAACATACATTTTGAACAGAAGTCCTACAAAGAAGCTAGAAGGAATTACTCCAGAAGAATGTTGGTCTGGTGTGAAGCCTAGCTTAAGTCATCTGAAAGTATTTGGATCTATTGCACATAGACATGTGCCAGATCAGTTGAGAAAGAAACTTGATGACAAGTCAAGTCAAATGATCCTAGTTGGATATCATTCGACAGGAGGCTACAAGTTGTTCGATCCAGAGAACAAGAAGATTGTGATCAGCAGGGACGTGATCATAAATGAGTTCAAAGAATGGGATTGGACTGCAAATGTCAAGAAAGATTCAGTGGGAATCTTATTCGATGAGCCAGAAACTCAAGTCGAAAGAGAAGTTCGACAAGAGGAGCCAGCAGATATACCCAGTACAAGCAGACCTCAAAGAACAAGACGCATGCCTGCAAGATTGCAAGATTGTGTAATTACATCAGATGATGTAATAGATGATGAAGGTGAGCTGGTACATTATGCTTTCTATGCAGATGTCGAACCTGTTAATGCAGCTGAAGCATTAAAGGATTCGAAGTGGGTGAAAGCAATGAACGAAGAAGTAAAGTCTATCGAAGACAACAACACTTGGTCACTTGTTGAATTGCCTCAAGGCAAGAAGGCAATTGATGTCAAGTGGGTATACAAAGTGAAGACTAATTCGAAAGGTGAAGTAACTCGACACAAAGCAAGACTTGTGGCGAAAGGATTTCTACAGAAAGAAGGAATAGACTTCGACGAAGTTTTTGCACCTGTTGCTAGGATCGAAACAATCAGGTTGGTTGTTGGTCTAACAGAAATCAACAGTTGGCACATATGTCAGATGGACGTGAAGTGTGCATTCTTAAATGGACCCTTAGATGAAGAAGTCTATGTTAAACAACCAGTTGGGTTTGTGAAACATGACGAAGAAAGAAAGGTGTACAGGCTACATAAAGCTCTGTATGGTTTGAAACAAGCTCCAAGGGCTTGGAATAAGAAAATTGATAGTTTTCTAAGAGAGAAGGAATTTGAGAAGTGCATAACTGAACATGGAGTATATGTAAGAAGAAGCAAGAGTAAATTGCTTATACTATGTCTCTATGTAGATGATTTGTTGATAACAGGTAGCTGCAAGAGTGAGATCGAAGACTTCAAAGTTGATCTTAGCAAGGAATTCGAAATGTCTGATTTGGGTGAGATTTCATATTTCCTTGGTATCGAATTCCACAAGAGCAGTAGAGGTTTGATGATGCATCAAAGAAGATATGCAGGAGAAATTCTCAAGAGGTTTAAGATGGAAGAATGCAACTCAACTTCGACACCTGCAGAACCAAGACTGCAACTGTCGAAAGATGCAGATGAAGATGATGTTGATCCAACCCAATACAGAAGACTTATTGGATCATTGAGATACCTTTGTCATACAAGGCCTGACTTAGCATACAGTGTAGGTATGGTAAGTAGATTCATGCAGAAGCCAAAGGTATCACATCTAGCAGCTGTGAAGAGGATACTAAGGTATCTCAAAGGAACTTTCGATTATGGCATTCTGTTTCCTGCAGTTGATAAAGGAAAAGAATGCAAGTTAGTGGGATACACTGATTCGAGTTGGTGTAGTGATGCTGAAGATCGAAAGTCAACAGCAGGATATGTATTTATGCTAGGTGGTGCAACAATTGCTTGGAGTTCGAGAAAAGAACCAGTAGTAGCATTATCATCATGCGAAGCAGAATACATAGTTGCTTCTCTTTTTGCATGTCAAGCAACCTGGATGGTGAACTTGGTCGAAGAAATAACAGGGAAAAATCATGGAGCAATTACCATGAAGATAGACAGCATGTCAGCTATCAATCTGGCAAAGAACCCAATAGCACATGGTCGAAGTAAGCACATCGAAATGAGGTTCCATTATCTTCGAGAGCAGGTAGCAGATGGGAAGATGAATTTGGAACACTGCAGAACTGAGAATCAGATTGCAGACATCATGACGAAGGGAGTGCAGGTCGAAGTATTCAGAAAGCTAAGGACCATGATGAACATAGACAGTTTAGACACAATGAATTAGGTGGTGTGTTAAATTGTAATTCATAGGTGTCAAAATAAGATTTGATTTGTTTAGATTTAAATAGATTTGAATTTAAATCTAGATTAGATTTGATTTAGTAAAGAGATATTTTGGGCTTGGGTTTAGCTTAGGGAGCAAGCTAACCTAAATCTATAAATAAGGGGGAGTAACCCTTATTTTGTAATTCAAGTCATTGAAGTTATTCACAGTATTTTGCAGTTGCAAAGTGAATTAATAAATATTCCACAGTTTGTGGGCAGAATAGAAATTCTGCAGAAATATCTCCATTGTTCTTTTATTTGTTTGTTTCATAACTTATCATCAAGTGGTGGTCGAAATTCATCATAGTGTATTGGTGGATTTCCAACAATATTGAAATAAAGTGATAGGACGAAATATCAAATAACTTCTAAATTATATGAAATTTTGTAGGTTTAATCCATGTAACAAGAACTTTCATTTCAACAGTTGGATATCTTAATTTCATATTTTCTTTTGTTTAAATTTATTAATTTTGTATTTTACACAAAATTAAAAAGTTATGCTAAGTTTGATGCTTAATGTCAACATATAAAAGAAATCATTACCGGTTCAGGTGTTGGGATGCTAGCGTTTGGGTCACCCATTTCAGCCCATGCAACGTCACCACCTTTGATCACCATTTCTGGTTTTGCTCCAAAAAAGGACGGTTTCCATAATACAAGATCAGCTAACTTCCCCACCTGCAAGATTAGATAAACTGTAAATGAAGTGGTCAATCTAATAGTAAAATTAGAAAGATGAGCATCCGCTTCATAGCTTCTGTCTGACAAGAAATAGTAGTTAAACTATGTGTTAAGAGACCCACATCGGATAATATATGGCCTGAACATGTCTTTATAAGTGGGGTAATCCTCACCCTACAAGCTGGTTTTATAGGATTGAGTTAGGCTTAACCACACTTCTTAACACTATGAAAGAAGAGAAACTTAATAAGTGGGGATTAATCCTCACCCTACATGACCATGATTTTTTCACAACGTATCATTTTCCACAAAAGTTCATGCTGGAATTGACAAAGGCCAAACAATCAAACAACATACCTCAACTGAACCAATATACTGTGACAAACCATTTGCTATAGCTGGATTTATAGTGTACTTTGCAACATAACGTTTGATTCGAAAGTTGTCATTGTTGCAATCATCAGGCAGTGGTCCTCTTTGTGACTTCATCTTATCGGCAGTTTGCCAAGTTCTGCTTATCACCTAAGGGAAAAATTATTCATCAATTAAACCTTAGGTACTATCAATTTTCACGAGAATACTGTACTTTTTTTTTTTGAAAAAAAATATGACATCAAAAAGATAATTATGGGAATTCCATACAGAAGACAGTCACATCACTAACTGCAAGATACGAGGGTACGGTTCCACAGACTACATGAGACAATAACAAGAAAGATCTCCAAACCAATTAAGAGAAATGTCGATGGCTTACACCATTTCTTTTTTGGGATTTAATTTGGCATTATCAAGCATTTAAGTTTTTTATTTCATAACAAATGATTATAATATAGATGGGATGACTTGAGTTAAGGAAGGACCTCTCCAATTCTACCCATAGCCTGTGAATCAGAAGAAATAATGCTAATTGCACCCATATCATGCAAAATATCTTCAGCAGCGATTGTTTCTGCTCTTATCCTTGATTCTGCAAAAGCAACATCTTCTGGACTATCCTTATCAAGATGATGGCATACCATCTGTATATCAACAAGTCGAAATTAAGAATCAAATGGTTTAAGCTACATTATTACTATTGTTTTCTTTTTTCATACCAGCATGTCAAGATGCTCGTCTATGGTATTTGATGTAAAGGGACGTGTAGGATTTGTTGATGAGGGTAGGACATTCTTTACACCACATACTTTGATGATATCTGGAGCATGGCCACCACCCGCACCTTCACTGCCCAGGAAAGTAATACAGAATAGTAAATAAGTAACCAGCTAGTTTTGATTGGAAAATGGAACCAAAAAGACATTCGGTTTTCAATTCTGGTGGACAGCGAGATGTGAGTATATAGTATATAGTTTTTTTTAGAAACAGCAAAAGATAGTGCCCAAACCAACTCCTATCTATCATCCACCAAGTAGGTGCAAGACCACCAATTACTAGGAGACACCAAACCAGCCCACACCCAATGGCCCCCTACACAAACAGCATCTCCAAAACAGAATTCAAAAAGGGGAAGCTCTGACCAAAGCACACAAACAGGCCAATAATGATATCCATGGGCAAAGGAAAAAACCGTAGCAACCTTCTGCGGTCTGCTACTGCAGAAAAGACAAGGAGCAGGCAGCACAATGCATCCCCTCCCCGAGCCTTCATTGAATCCCTGTCAACAAAGCAGCCCTCCTACCATAACTGGACTACCCTGACACGAACCAGGCAAACTAGGCTGCTCAACCTGAGGACACAGTACCTGGCCACCAAACTCACCTTTATAGACAACCAATTCTTTGAACTCACTCCAACTTCTCAAACTGCATATAGACTTCCGAACAAGCTATTTCTCTATAGAAAAACCTGAATAAAATGCAGGCCAACACAAAACACTGGCATAGGGAAGCCATGCTGGCCAACACACAACACTGGTATAGGGAAGCCTCAAACCATGTTATGAAACAATAGCTAAAACTAATTGTCCAAGGCACTTGCCGTTAGGGGTGTTCAAAACCAAACCGGTTCAATAGAAAACCGCAAAACTGAACCGAATCAAACTGAAACTGCAAAAAAACACATTTAGTTCGGATGTGTTTGGGTCATTTTCTAACGGAACCGCGCGGTTCGGTTCCATTTGCGATTTGTATTTTGCAAACCAAATCAAACCGCATTATGTTATAAAATCTTACTAACCAATATATATTTCTTTAATTCTTTAAAGAAATCAACATGTACTATGTGTATATTTTATCATATCCTTTGTATGATATTTATTTTAATTTACAAATCATAAAAAATAAAATATTATTCATTTATAAATATTATTTTCACAAAATATGTTTTATCGTATTCTTTGTATAATATTTATTTAAGAATGCAATCTTATGTATATCATTCTTTAGATTTAGATAAAATTATAATACACAATTTTATGTATTAAATTATAAATTTATTTTGACAATTATAAATTTTTTTATGGTAATGTATGAACGATTAAACACAAAATTATATTTTTCTCTACATGTGTATGTAAGGCTCAATAATTTTTTTGTAAAAAATCGAACCAACCGAACCAATCCAAACCGCATTAGTTTGGTTTGGTTTGGTTTTTAAAAGTCAACCGAACCAAACCGAACCGTACGTTTTTTTCTCTTGTGGTTCGGGTGATTTTTTACTTCAAAACCGTCAAAATCGCACCGCGAACACCCCTATCTGCCGTTGTGCTGGATAAAAGTATTAATAACTCATCAAAAAACGACCATCTCATTCCTTACACGGACCAACGGTCCCTCTCCCAACTAGCCATCTCTCCTACCTTATTTTCTCTGCTAAGAGATTAGAAATAAGCGACGGAATCGCGAACAAAGAGATTCATAACCAACCTGAGCCACTATCCAATGGGCTCTGATCCTTCCACCAAACTGAAGAGATTCGAGTCAGCCCTCTTCCATCCAGACCCACATTTCTCACAATATCAACCCCATAACACGCAACCACAACCTCTTTCCACAATTCGTGACCATTTGGAAGCAACCTCCATCTCCATTTTACCAACAAGCTTGAATTTACCACCCTGAGATCTCTAACATCTAAACTTCCCATACTTTTAGGCCTAAACACCACGTCCCGACTAACCCAATAAATTTTCCTCTTCTTCCTCAACCCACCCCTCAAGAACGGAGAACCCCTTTGAATTTTCACCACCTCTCTCCATACACTTTGTGGCATCTTAAGAAATAAAAAATAAGAATAGCACTCAACACCGAGTTAATCAGCACAATCATCCCCAAGACTCACATATTTATTCCCTCAAGATCCTAACCTACTATGAAACATTTAACATTGGTTGCCAAGTCAACATCCCACCGGTAGACCAAGATATCTGAACGGCCCCCAATCCTACAATTAGGAAAGTCTGTTGACATCATCATAAAATCATGTTGCACATTGATGCTCACCAGACGACTTTTTCAAAAGCTAACTTTAAGACCTAACACCCGTTCAAATCCTCTCAGCACTGTCTTGAGGATCCAAAGATTATCTACCGTACCTTTTTAATACATAAAGTATCGTCTGCATATTACAAATGTGATATAGGTATCCCGGCCATCCCCACCAAGAAAGGAGTGAATTTATCATCACACACTGCCCTCCTCATTAGGGCACCTAGTCCTTCTGCAATCAAAAGGAACAAGAAAGGTGTCACAGGATCGCCTTGCTTGTTCCTTCTTTGAATATTGATCTTTTCCGTTGGGCTACTATTCACCAAATAAGATATAGTCCCAGAGAAAACACATGCACACATCCAATCTACCCGTTTTTGAGTAAAACCAACTCCACAACATATATTTCAGAAAACCCCCAGTCAATTGAATCATAAGCCTTCTCAAAATCAACCTTTAAAATCAAACAATCTTTCCCCACCTTTGCAAAGTCAGTTATCTCATTAACCACTAACACCCCATCCACACCAACGGCCTCCCCTCAAGAAGTGCCGATTGTGTATGAGAGACTAATGAATCCATATGTTTTGATAGTCTTGATACTAGCACTTTGGACACAATTTTATATAGACAGCCAAGTAGAGAAATGAGCCAAAAATCCCCCAAAGAGGGCGGAGAGTTCACCTTTGGGATCAAAGTAAGAAAATAAGAGAGCAAGCTTTTAGAGAGAGTGTTACCATGGGATTGATCAAACATAATTCAAACTTCACTTCTCATGACATGAGGTCCCAAATTTTTTGATAAAAGCAAAATTAAAACCATGCAGATCTGGACTTTTTAATCCATCACTATCCACCACCACCACCCTCTAAATCTCAGCAAGTGTAAATGTAGCTATTAAAGCAACATTATCTTCTGATGACAGATCCGGGAAGACCAAACCATCTAGGGCAGGCCGCTCCCATTTACACCTCAAAAAATGGTTTGTGAAAAGGCGAACGGCCTCATTTCTATTTGAATTGGATCTTCAATATAATAGTACAAGCATAGACATGTATAGAGGTGGGTATTCTATTTTGGGGAAACAAAGGTTTGAGTTTAACATATTGCCTATTTACATCACAGGTAAGACCAGAGTCATAAAGTGTTCTACCAAAGAAGTTATATATTAGCTCAACAGCTCCATTTGGCTATGGCAATACTTCTATACAAAGAAATTTACAAATAATATTAAAATGGATCTTTTTCTTTCAATGTTAATTGACAAATAAAAATCATGCAGCATCCGTTCTTAATCTTTTTTCGAAGTTAGCATATACCTGTGGTAAGCATGAATATTTTTTCCTTTAAATGCAGCAATTGTGTGTTCCACAAACCCAGATTCATTTAAGGTGTCAGTATGTATGTTAACCTGTTGTCATAAAATTTTGTAAGGAAATAAGCAGAATATATGAAGATTGGAATATTACTGGACGAGCGGACACAAAACCAGAATGGGTTAGAATAAATACAGTATGGAGAAAGTTGGAGTTGCACCAATACAAATTCCACTATAGAGATTATTTGATATGGAGGGTAGTCCAATAATTTGAGGTAGAAATAAATCAAGAAAGGCTAACGATCAAGAAAGATTTAGATTTGAATGGTTTTTGCCTTTAGACAAAATTTATGATTGAATATTATATTGTTGAGGTTGTAATGTAAAAGTAAAAAAAAAATACAAAAGTAAATAGGTGAAAGTGTTGAAGAAAATTGTACCTGGATATCATGTTTTTCGGCAACGTCCAAGCAACATTCTATTGCGGCTGGTGTAGTTCCCCAATCTTCATGCAGCTTCAGTCCCATAGCTCCAGCTTTCACTATTTCATGTAACTCATCAGGCTTGGCACAATTCCCCTAAAGCAATTAATTAAAGTTTTAATTAACTTTAAACATAAAAAGAGTTATGTTAGGATAGAATATAGGGAAATCAGAGTTATTTGTTAGTTAGAGTATTTTGTAGAAATAGGAGAACACAATGTTAGAGTTGATCATTATTGAATATTGTAAACATTGTGAATAGAGTAGCAACTAGCAACTCTATTGTGAAGAAGAAACCTTGGAGGAGAGATTCCTCTCCTATTCTTACCTATTTCTTAAAAGTGTTTTCTCTTTGGAATCCACTTCTACGGTTCCTAACAAGGTATTCTAGAGGTCCAAAGATTAACCGAACACAAAAGAACAAGCATTATTATAATCGAAAAAGAAAAAGAGAGAACGGACTTTTCCAGTAAAGCCGAAGTTCAGGGGAAGGTCATCTGTTGATTGCAGCATCATTTTCATCTGAATCGGTGCAGGTGTGCAAGTTGTAGCACGAGTTCCAAAAGCTGGTCCAGTTCCTCCTCCCACTAATGTTGTGATCCCTATAGATAAAAGAAAAAAAGAACTTCACAAAATCTTCTAAGCGAACCTACAATACATACACATTAGTATTGCGCAGCCAAATGATCTCAAAGTCATGTATCCAGAACTCTAAGAATATTTAAAATTCATGTAACGAACACTTTCAATCATATTTTCTTTTAGTAGTGAAACTCACCACTTGATATGGCTTCATACACTAATTGAGGGCATATAAAATGCACATGACAATCTATAGCACCAGCTGTTACAATAAAGCCCTCTCCAGCAATAACTTCAGTATTAGCCTAGACATGGGACAATGTGCATATAAGCTGTATCAAGATAATGATGAAGGAATTCAGCTCATTGCCTCAGATATCTGGAAAGGAAATTACCCCGATGATCATATTAACAAATACACCATCCATGACCTCTGGATTTCCTGCTTTTCCAATAGAGGCAATAAGGCCATCCTTAATACCAATATCTGCTTTGTAAATTCCAGTATAATCGATGATTACAGCATTTGTTATAACAGTATCCAAGGAGAGATCAGGTGGATGGCCACACGACTGGCCCATTCCATCTCTTATAACTTTCCCACCTCCAAAAACACATTCATCACCATAGACAGCAAAGTCTTTTTCAATTTCCCCAAACAAGTTAGTGTCACCAAGACGAATTTTGTCACCAGTAGTGGGGCCATACTTGTTAGCATATTCCTCTCGAGGAATTACTTTAGTCAATGAATAGTCTTCACCGGTAATACCTTCCCTAGTAAATTCATATTTGAGGTAAGAAATCTTCTCAAGACATGGAATTGGTGAAGAAGTAGACAAGTTTACATAACAAGTTTAATAACAAATCATAAACCTTGCATTTTCATCTTCCTTATGCCCGAATCCCCTTGTTATAACATCCTCCATGGCTTCTATGCACTTCAAATCATTAACTGGACCATCAACAATGTTGTTACCTCCTCGGATGACTTTATCACCTCCAATGCTTACAAGTATAACACTTTTACTTTCCCCTGGCTATCAAGAGTAAATGTTTTTTGATTAATGATTTGCGATCTAATAAATGAATTAGTTCACCCAAAGGTTGCATTTAGCCTGCTCACTTGAGACTGGCACTGAAGTGCAAAAAATTCAATGAACTATATGACAGAAATAACAAACCTATTACTATACATTACAATTACTGTGGTAAGTTCAAAAATTGACAAAAAGCATAAATTCCACCTCAAATCGTGTGGTAGTCCCAGATGCTATATTAAGCCGCTTGCCAAATGATTTTCTTCGATCAAAGATTAAGTAGGGATTTACTTCAATAAAATGATAGTGGCTTCCAACCTGGAAATTTTCAGAAATATTTAAAAATACCCTCTACAGTATCTTCTATGGACAATATAAAGAAAGGAGTCAACTAGCTGGAATATTTGACACAGTAAACTTTTAATGTCAATATTTATCAACCTTCCACAATTATAACTATATTATACTGTACTTGACATGAAAAGCTCAAAAGATTCTATTTCCTGAATTAACTATGATTCATTGACATCACTTTGTTATTTCACGTGCACAACTTATCCTACTGCATTCAGAACACTGGCATGTTTCAAGCATTTTTTTAATCTGGAATAAATAAAAAATAAAAAAGGCATAAATATTATCCAAAATTCTAAGGTGTGAGGTGTGCAACACACCGGCAAACACCTGAATTGGTCTGTCTCCATTGTTTACAACTTTAAGAGAGACGGCCTCCCTTCCAGCGTTAAGAATCAGGCTTCCATCTCCAGATTTTATTTCACCAGGAATGTTATAATCTTCATTGTTCTCGATAAACATGTCAAGTGAAGGTACTGTAAACACAATTTTTATCCATCAAAACCTTTTCGCATAATCAATAGAAATTCTGGTTATGAACAGCTACTAAAATTTCATAACAACTTCATTTATATGGTCTTAAACTCAGAATAAGCAAAGACACAATAAAGAGTCGTTACCATATAGCATGCTCAAAGATGGAAGTACTTAGCAGAAATACATAATAAAATGTCTATTTTTAGTATCAATATACAGACATACCTGGAAGAAAAGAACCAAATAATGCTAGTTCAAGGTTTCCATTTTCACAAGCAATTGGCTCATGAACCGTGATTAACTTAGTCCCATCAGGAAAGGTAGCTTCAACCTGCATTCAACTTATTTGATAAAACTATGACAATAGCATATGCAAGTTCTTTTTTTTCTTCTGTTTCTGTGTGAGCCAGGATGATGGGGAAGATTGAAGAGTACGGTGATACATTACAACAAAATTTAAGCTGCTTAAGAATCATGATAAAAAATTAAAAGGTATATCGAAGTGCTTTTGAACAATCACATAAAAGTATTGGTATAATAGAGCCATAGCCATCATGATGTGAGTACCTGAACAGTTTCTAAGAGATGTGGAACAGATGAAAGAACTTGTCTCCTGTGAAAAAATGAAGACAGATTGAGACATTAAACAAAAACACTATCTTTTTCTACCACAATGATAATCCCTCATATTATTAAAAAAACACTCATGTTTGGTTGTAATAAAAAATAAGCAAAACTAAATTAATTTACCCTACTTAATGATATTATTCATTAAATACCTTTCAATAAGTATAGACATATTTGACAATAATTCTTTTTGCCTCATTAATTAAGTTTCCAGACAAAGAGTAATACCAAAAAAAAAGTTTCCAGACAAAAACCAATCAATGAATCACTGACACCTAAGCTTATAGGAATGTCTGCCACGGGTGGTGTCCTACACTTGCATGACACTCGTATGATAGGTGTTGGAAATGAAATCCAACACCCGAAAAACATTCAAAACAACATGTGCCATCAAACAATCAAGATAAATATTTTAAAAATAATCGTTTTTCTTTTTGCATAACACACCTTATACATTTAAAAAAAAAATGTTTGTCTTGAATGATAAGTATATACTTATTATTAATATAATGTTTACATTTATAGTAACAACATATATAAAACTTAAAAAATTTATCTAAATCCTATAAAAATCTTCTAAAATCCTCATTCAATACTATTTTAAAGTTCTACTAAATTAAAGAGATTTTAAGTTAGAGACTAATTGATATACACCGTAAAAAGTTTTACACAGAAAATACATCATAATCATTCATATGTAATACTATAAATAAAATTAAAATAAAAGTTAAACACTCATGAAAATCTAACGATTATGATTAAATCACATTGTTAAATTAAATTTCTGTGATTAAGCTAAAATCCTCCAAAACCTTCAAATTATGCTAAAATCTGTGATTGGTTAACACCCAAAAAAGTTTCTACGAATGAGTTTGTAAAGGAATACTACTAGTAACATTTTTTATTTTACAAGAAAAATCAACTACAGTTGAACAGAAAATACTTAAGTGGAGACTCAGGTACACCTTTGTATTTAATTGAGTATTAATATCTTCAACCAATCAAATTACTTTCTTTTTTTAATTTTATTTTAAAATAAATTAAAATTTTAACACAATTTACGCAAAAAGTACCTATACCCAACTTAGATTCATGTGTACCAAAGAATTTACCAAATACACTTAATTAGCATGAATGAAAGCGTAACAAAATGAACATTATACCTTCCTAAAAGTTGTCTTCCAATTGACATTAACTCAGCAACAGTCTTATCACCATTCCGAACAAATTCAACAATCTACACAAACAAAATCGACCGAATAACAAACTCTCGAATTTCATCGGAACCGAATCGATAGAAGAGAAAAAGAAAACCTGCGTTGCGACAAGCGCGACAGCTTCAGTATGGTTGAGTTTCAAACCACGAGCGAGACGTTTCTGAGCAAGAAAACCAGCGTTGTGCAGTTGAAGTTTTTCGATTTCTCTTTGACACAGTTTCATTTCTCAAATCAAATCAGTGATAATGAAATTGGCTAAGTTTAGTAATAATAATAGTATTGTTTTGGAGATCCTAAACAAATTGAATACAATTTGACGAAGCTATCACGAGCCACATTCTTTAATTGTTCTTGGAGTTGGACCACTGACCGAGTGTCGTATTCACCGTAATTGTGCCTCTCGACTCAGATAACTGCACGTTACAAACAAGACTAATTCACTGGTGCCATTTTTTTAAAGTAAAATAAATCACTCTTTAAATCTAGTAAATATGTCGATAATGTTACGGTAGAATTAGTAATTAATATGCATAAAAATACTAAATTTAAAACTGTTGCAAAAATTTATAGAGAGAATAATTAATTTTATATTAATATTGCAAAACATAATTGTTTTTCTCAAAACCGATTTATAATAAAAATGATTTTCTGAAAGAAAATTGATGCTACACACAAATTAAGATAAGATTAAAAAAAATGTATGCTATAGGTTGTTTTGTGAATTGTATGTCAGGCAAGTGGACAGAATAGATTGTCGCCTCTAAAACCTTTTTTGGTCCAAAAAATAGAAAAAGATAAAAGATGTACTATTAAAAAATGAACTATTAAATCTAAAAAATCTTAAATTTACTATGTCATTTCAATTTTAAAAAAATAAAATTGAGATTTATTGTGATGCATGTTATTGATTGTATAAAATATTTTATATTATTAATGTATTTTAAATCACATGAAATAAATAAATTATATAAATATATTTAAAAAATTATAATAATTCATAAATAGTTAAAAATATTTTTTAAATTTTGAAAATACTATTGAATGATTTTTAATATATATTAAAAATAATTAAATATATGTATTTAATGAATTGATGAAAAATTCATTTATTTATCCTATTTTATTATTTGAAAATATATATTTAAATTGGAGTTAAATGTGCAACACCTCCGATAATATTAACGAGATAGATTTGATTTTAGTTTTTGATAAAATTATTTTTTTTGTAATTTCCTCCTCACAATTTTCAGATTATCTCAAATACTCTCTAACTGCTACATTGTAGCAAATATTCTCTCTATTGTCTATGTAACAGGTTAGATGGATTTTTATTTTATTTTTTATTTAAAATTTAAAACCCACGTGAAATTATTATTATTTTTATATATTATATTTTTTATTTAATTTTTAATTTTTACTTTTTAATATAAGAAAAAATCAAATAAAATTTTTATACCCATCAAGAATCAAACCATGTCTCCTAAGGTGACTGGGCCTGCGCCACTGGGATGTTGTCCTTTTTTCTTAATATTTTTCATAATAAGAAGATATATGTAGAACTCCTATTTTAAAATTATATAGGAATTTGATCTCACTCAAATGATAATAAACCTCTTTTATATGACCATCATACTCTTTCATGTGTAATTATCTAAATAATGATATATTCTATTTATGTACAAAATATGTGGTTGAGTTTGTAAAACTCTATTTATGATATATTTTACAACCACTTTTCTATATTGTTTTAAAATAAAAATATAATTAGTATCTAATTGTATAATCAGAGTATATTAGGGATGTCAATGGGGCGGGGCGGGGCCGGGGGGACACTTCCCCATCTTTTTCCCCGCCATCAAATTCATTCCCCGTCCCCGTCCCCGATCTCCGTCACGGGGGAATTTCTATCCCCATCCCCGTTCCCCGCGGATCCCCGTTCCCCGCGGGGATCCCCATAGATCCTACATTTATTCATTAATATTTTATTTTTTTAAAATGTTTATATTTTTTAAATGTCTGGCAGAAGAAAATGAAACGCTTCAACTTTTTTAGGGTCTAATATTTACATTTCTCTCTCTTAATAAATACATGAATATTTATTTATTTATTTTTATAAATAAACATAAAGGAAATGACTAAAAAACCTAATCTAAAATATATATATTAAATTAACTATATTAAAATAATAGGCGGGGCGGGGGGTGTATTCCACGTCCCCGTCTCCGAAATGCTCTCGGGGGAATTTTTCTCCCCATCCCCGCCCCCACGGGGGAAAATTCCCCATCTTTGGGGCCCCGAACGGGGCGTTCCCCGCGGGGATCCCCATTAACAGGTCCAAACTGACATCCCTAGAGTATATAATATTAGTGAGCTCTGATAAATCTTTATACATGTTAGATCAGTGGGATCGAAAAAATTTAGATTATTATTCTCATATTGTCACGTATTCTTGCGTGCATTATAAATATGACACATTCTAAGAAGACTTCAAAATATACAATAACTCTAAGAAGTCTTATTCTATTAATTTGAGATATATATTATTCTCTTAATCTCATAAAACATCATATTTTGATGTTTAGGTCGATATTGAAAAGACACAATAATTCTTTAGCATGTAATTATATTGTGTTTTTCTATCTTCAATAGTTCATTTTTGTCCGGTCATAATATGAAAGTGCAAGAAAATATTAATATTCCTATCGAGTATGATATTGTGTTATGAAGGTACTTATGATTAAATGTAATTACTCTCTTAATAAAGTACACCTATATGTAATTACTATTCTTAGACCTATGTGGATATTCAATAACCTATAATTTAAAATTCATTAGTATAATCACTACTCAAATACTTATAGACATGAATAAGTCTTATGAATATTGGGTTAGTGGGAGTTTATTAATAGCATTTTCATATGATTGGGTCATTCTTTTTTTTGTTGAAAAAACTAAAATATATCACCACAAAACAACCCGTCAAGCACAAGATGTACTAGAAGAGTTGCCCAATAAAAGATACATCAACAAATGTCACAAAAATTCAACCAAAAACCCAAACTATCCACAATTGCAGTAATGCACTGAATCAGATTAACCCTCCAAACCTAATACTCAAACTCAAATGATGACACGTGAGCCTTCAACCACCAAAAAGAGTGAATTTTAACCTTCTCACACATAGTCATCAAAGAAAGACTCTTATTCTGAAACACACGTTGATTCCTATTTTTCCAAATTAACCAAACTACTGCTACCCAAATAATATGAAATACATGCTTTACACTTTTTTAGATACACCTCCTTAGATGCCTCCTTACCGGAATTATAAAGAAACACCTTATCTCCCCCCAACAGAACCACCTTAGGATGAAAGTCAGCATCAGTAATAATCTATTATAATATTGGAACACCCATGCCATTACAAATTCTGCACACGACGTCACTCCTCGCCCATTCCACATCCTCCTGACTACATGTATATTCCTTCCGCACTGGCTTCCCGAGTGTCCCAGGATCCTCTGTCACCTCTTCCTCTCTACAACTACCCCTTACGACTTCAATAAAAGATAAATTCTTTTTCCCCTTACCCTTCAGACCTACATCATTATGAAGGACGCCACCATCCACCTTACCTCTCTGATGCACCAACATTTGTTTTACTCCCTCCTCTTCCTCAACAATCATGTCACTATTTTTAATAACAACCTCCTTTAGATCTCTCTCCATGTCTCCCATCTGAAATCTATCATACAGCGCTTCACTAGCAAATAACTGCCACTCTCCAATACATACACTATTAAGAGATTTTTTTATAGTTTTGGGACATCCTTAACATTCCTATAACGAGCAAAATCATAAGCATCGCCCTTATCATTACGATAGCCCAACACATAAACATCTGATAGAATACCACAAACTTCAAGTTCCTTTCTCAACCGAGCTTGCGAGATTAACGATGAAAAATTCGTTATATAGAACGAAACAAAAGTACCAGAATTTCGGGAATAAAAATTATTACCAAAAATATTTTAATTAGTAACAACACCGCCTTATTGAAACGTCGCCTGCTTATTACTATGATGCTGGCGAAAATGATTAACAACCGTCGAACTCCCCATCCGCCATAACCGGCCCGCATTTTGTCCCTACACATGTTTCCTAAAACGAGCTTCAGGCCAATGACCATTGTGTCAAATCCCTCTGTTCATCCACTAGGATCGTCGCCTAACATCCCCACTAAATCCTTCTACTCGCAACCTTTTCTGAACCCCATGAAACCTTGGAACCTGCCTTCGTTCTCTGTCTGAATTATGATTGAAAAATTTGTTCTATCCTTGATAAACTGGTTGAAAACCTTTCCCTCTTCTCCGCTGCACCACAGACCACTCCTCCCCGTTTAGTGCCACCCTTGGTTGACCCCCACCCCTTACACCGCTTTCTACCATGGCAACCCACCAGAAATACAACCTGAAACCCAATCAGACTGTTTCCTGTAAGCCCTAGCAGAAGCGTTGTTATCTAAGCATAAGAATTTTTAGTTTTTTTACTTGGATCATTCTTTAATAACATATTTCTTTTAATTTAAATATGTTACTCTCAATTTATTATTCTTCATATAAGTTATGATTCTTTAACATGTATGATTTGTTTTCTCTATCAGATACAATTTCTACAACATTGAAAGTTACTTCTCTTTTGATTTATTAGTGTTTTGACCCTTATTCTAATAATAAAGTTAATATTTTAATAAATAATTAGTGTCATCCAAGTGGGAGATTTTTAGATCAATTAATTAATCAAATATATATTGACATGATTAATTATTAATAAATTATATTATGATCAATTGATATTAAACAATAACTATTGATGAATTGCTTGATTGAGTTTTATGGCTGAAAGGACCGTGATGGATTGGATAATTCAGTTAAGCTTAATGAGAGGTTTCTACCCTCATCCGTTTAACTATTTAAGCATTACCCCATTAAACGATTAGCAGACTTTATAAACCCTAAATGACAATAAGGGTAGTAATCATCTCATATCACTCTCTCTAACAATCATCCCTTCAATCCTACAAGGTACACCATTTTAATTATTCTCGAGTACTCTATAATATTACTATACTATGATTTGTATCTATCAGATTCACTTAAATTCATCAGGTTCATCTCATTTTATACCGTGATCTTACTTTAATATTAAGGTGCCTTTAAATGT